GACTACTTAAATAGGCAATCAAAAGTTGTACGTGTGACTAGTTGTACTCTCGTGATACTGATATAATATATAAAGCCAGTGCTAAAATTAACATTGGCCTACCGCTTGTACTAATAAAGTGCCAAGAGCCTAAGTGGTTACCTTAATATTAAAAAAAAAAAAAAAAAAAAATTATTCAATAAAGATACAAGCAAGGCCTCACCTTTAATATCTAAAAAAAAAAAAAAAACATAAGAACTGAGGTTATTGCAGCTGCAGATGGTCATTCATCAAAATATTAAATAAAAATAAAAAAATATGGTCAAAATTTTATTAATAAAAAATTTTTATTTTAATCAAAAATCAGGTATTACTTTTGTTGGCTACTATACATCACAGATCTCTTATTTGTTATATTTGAGCCAACAGGATTTGAAGAATTTGTCTCCTTTCTTTTCTTTAGCACTCCTGCTATTTTCTTCATATTTGACCACTATTTCTTACTCAAGTTCTAATATTAAATAGCACATCATCTTTGTTTATATATATTATAAGATATTCTTCTTTCTCTAGTACCATTTTCTTTTTAATCTCAAAAAGCTTTATATCAACATTTCTCACATTCAGATCACTTGTGTGATTATTTTGGTTTATGTTTGGTTTTTTGCTAATATACTCTCTATTATGATTAAGTTTCTTCATCTTAACTACCAAATCTTTAGTGGTTTCATACATATTCAGGTGTGCACCAGCAACCCTCTTATAATACAGACTTCAGAGACTCTGTATATACTTCTCACTTTTCCAAATTTCTTAACTGATCTTTTACCTCATCAATATAAATGTCAAAGCAATTGGTGTACATTTGAACAGTATCACAGTTTCTTGGTCCATGTTCTTTAAACATTTCAACTTTTCATTAGTGTCTGATGATATTGCCCATCTTGTTGTCATAACTGCTTTCAAGCTACTTTATGTCATATGAGCTTGCATTAGCTGCATTATTGATGGCTTTACAATTACTAAACTTTTCTTTCAATCATCCCAGTCTTTCAAAGCTAAATACGTCTAGGGTTGTAAAATTACAGTAATTTTTGTAATTTTGTGTAATTTTGTGTAAGTTTATAGTAACATAGTTTTCATGTAATTTGTAATTTGCATGATTTTTACTTTCTAAGATCAAAATTTTCGGTGATTGAAGAGTTACAAATTAAATAAATCAAATTATGCAATAACACTGGTTGAGCTTTTATAAAGCTAGTACAATATTAAGTTATATGAAATTTGATTACTGAAAATTACATAAAATTACATGTATTGTAAGATTGTAAAATGTAATTTTCAACCCTAAATACACCTCAAAGTAAAGTAAAAATTCCTCAATGTTCTCATGTCTAGTATATATTTGTTTGGTCGGATTAATGCCCCAATAGTATTTAATTTGTAGCCCATAGGTTGAACTGGTATCGTACAAGTTCTTCACCACAATTATTACTTTCCATTTATAACTTCTAATGAGGTATCTATTTGAAATGGTTTGGCTTTTTTATGTCGTTTTAGTTTATTTTATTATTATTATTTTTATTGCCCTGCACAGTACTTATTTATATCCCAGTACTAGGGATTACATACTTATTTACATCCCAGTACAGTTGACTCTCTCTAAATGCATACTCCCTAAATGCAGTTAATATTAAATTCTCTCTAAATGCAGGTTTTTTTTGGTCCCAAGCTATAAAAAATTATAATGAACTTATATTCTCTAAGTGCAAATTCTCTCTAAATGCAGGATTTTTTTTTTTTTTACTTAAAAAAATTTTATAGGTCCCGACAAGCTGCACTTAGAGAGAGTCGACTGTACTAGGGATTACATAATTTACGAGATCTTTAACGTCTGTTCTTTTTTTTTTTTTTTTTTTAACAAATTCGATCTTACCCAGGTTCTTCTGTAGTAGTCGAGTATGACCACCACAATAGTTTTAAATTTTAACTAGAATTTAAAATTAGATAATATATAGTAAATTTTACAAAAAGCTTTTTCTAAAATACCAAATTAGGTTTATAAATATAATTAAGTTACTAAAATTTGAAAATTTTGAAGATTTTTTTAAATCATATAACCTAATTTGACTAAAATTACTTTATGAAATAAGCTGCGGCGACATAAACTCTATGAAATGAACTTGTCTGTGAATTAATCATCTATAAAATAACTTTGGCTATAAATTAATTGCCTTTGAAGTGAGTTGATTAAACCCGAATTTATTTATCCGTAAACTACCACCTTCTATTCTGATATAATAATACAAACTAAACTATTATTTAACATAGCTGTGCATTGCATAAACAACTCCCTTAGCAATATTCTTTACCTTTGTTTATATAGCAAATATACTTTCAAAAATACGATATTTATTATAATTTTTTTAGTATTAGGGTTATGAAATTTTTTTTTACATATTAACTAAAAAACAAAGTTAATAGGCTGATAGAGTACAAAATTCCGAGTATTAAATACCCAAAAACACATAAAATTTCTATATATAAGACTTATATAAGGCTTTATGTTCTAGGGTTAGGGTTAATAGGGGTTTTTGCCTTGAAAATGATGTTACGGTATCAAGTACCGTAAGGTCATTTTCAAGGCAAAGACCTCAATAAAAATGTCTGAATTATATTTAATCAAGCATCAGTGTTTCCAACGTTTAATTTTTTTAAAAGTTCAATAGCATTAGAATGACCTTTCGAAGCGGCTAATCTGGCATAATGCTTAGCCTTTTCCTTATTAATTTGTTCAGTATATAATCCTTCCATATATATAATTGCCAAATTATAATAGGCAATTTCATTTCCATTATCAGCAGACATTTTAATATATTTAATTATTTCAGAATAATCTTTTGGGTTGTTCTCTATTAAAGTAAATGCATATCGAAGTTGAACTTCAGGAACAGAATTATCTGCAGCTTCTTTAAAGAGTTTAAGAGCAGCATTCATGTCTTTTTCAACGTGATATCCACTTAATAAGTAATATCCTTTCCAATATTTCGCAAGATTATTTCCATAATCAGCGAGGCCAGAAAAACATTCCCAAGCAACTTTATAATTTTTTTCTTGATGAGCTTTATAACCCATTTTAAAAGGCATTAATGGAAGTTTTTCAGAATTGCTTTCATCGATATGCTTAGGAGAAAGTCCTTTAGGACCAAATTTTTCATAAACCTCTTTAAGAGTTGATAATACATTCATGAATTGTGGACGTTCTGAAGGATTGTGATTCCAAGCTTAAAATAAAATTAAAATCTTATAGTTAGATGAAATGTAAATTGACTAATTCTTGAACATAAATATATTCAAATATTCATGAGAACTACCTTGCTTAATTATTTTAAAAAGTTCTTGTGCGATTGGACTTGGATCAAGCGTTATTTTTTCTCGTTTCTTGTCTCTGACTAGTTGTTCAATTTCGAGAATTGAATTAATATTTTCATATGGAATTCGTTGATGACAGAGTTCCCACAGAAGAATTCCAAAACTGATCACAAAAATAATTAATAAAATCATTTTTAAAAATGTAATATCTTCAAAGTTTAAAAACGCATACCTGTACATTTCACATTGATGATTATACTTAACGCTAGAGTCATATTGCGCATGACTTATTTTTTCAGGAGCTAACCATCGAATCATGCTTAATATATTCTCGATTTTTATAGACTTCTCTTGCTCCGTTCGGCTAAGCCAGAAATTCGAAATTTTGGACTCATAACTCTCGGTAATCTTTTTTTAAAGTAAAGAGAATATTTTTGAGGTAGCCAATAAAAATACAGTACTTTAATATTATTTAACATAAATTGAAAATAAGGTTACATACTAATATATTTTCACAGCGAATATCGTGATGTAGAATATTGCATTGGTGAATAAATAAAAGACCATTACATATATCACGAGCAATTTTTAATTTAGTGCACCAATCAATAGAAATACTTGTGTACAACTTTCTCAGATTACCATTCGGTGCCCATTCAAAAACCATAACAGGGCTATTATTTATTTTCGAATGGCCATGGAAGCCAATAATATATTGACAAGTTCCCAGTCTACGCAAGATAGCAAATTCGACATGAGGTTTTACATCATTTTTTTCAACAAGCATCTTTTTACATGCGACTGTAAGCCCCCGATAAGTTCTTTTAAGGACAGTTTTTCCAAAATCATCTTCTGAATGATCTAAAATAAGTTCTCGCGCATTTATGTCAGGCTCTCTATAGGCTTCGAGTAATGTGGGATCGATAGAGGATGTTTGCTTCATAAATTGTTCAAACTTTTCTGACAATTGTGCTAACTCTTTCTTTTGTTCACTAATATTATCATTCACATCATTCATAATCTAATCACATGATTTCAAATGTTTAAAGTTTAATCATACACGCAATGTTCAAAATAGTAATAGACTACGATAATTCTGTAATTACCTTATTTAAAACGTTAATGTCTTCCATAATTTTTTTATTTTCTATATCTTTTTTATTTCTATCATATATAGCCAAAGTAAAATCTAAATCTTTACATACTTCTTCAAATTCTTTAATATTTTTATCAAATGCATCCTTAACTGCGTTTGCAGTCAAAAATTTTTGTAAGCTTGATAATTGAGTAACTTCTTTTACAAATTTATTTATATTTTCTAAAACAGTTACAAATCTAATCCATGCATTATAATAATCTTGTTTTCTAAAAAGTTCTTCATTTTCCATTTGCTGTCTTTGTAAAGATTTGACTGCTAGTTGAGCAATTTCTACACGATCAATTAAAGCCAAACAAATTTTCTGATTACATTTTCCATTTCTGTAAGCCTTCACCACTGAATCTACAATAGTTTGAACAGATTGAAATAATGGAAGAAACGGTTGAACTGCATCAATTATGCTATCAAAACCTATTTCATATTCATCATTTAAATGTGGTTTATAATTATTATCGTCTTTTTTTCTTTTTTCATTGTCTTCATCAAATTTCTTTGTATTTTCATTAACTACATATAAAAACGGGTTAAAACGGTTTATATTAAATTGATTGTTAAAACGAATTATTATCTCTTGATTTAGTTAATTAAATATCTATACTTACTTGGTTCAGAAAATATTTTTTGTCATATTTTATTTAAATAAATCATTGAATCATCGCCAGAATTTTGGAGAAAATACCAGTGAATTGAGTAACTTTCGGAGAACCCTTTTAAGTTGTCATCTGTAGAAGTATTTTTGCTAACAGGTTTTTCATCATATTTATCCTCTTCTTCATTGATTGCCTTAATTATTAATCTTTTTTTATTATTTAGATATTGTATTTTTCCCACGAAATTTGGCTCATAGTTTGAAAGTGGATATTTGAATGTGGTAACAAGAACTGTGTCGAGTGGTAAATTTTTTGGAACCTCAAAATTTTCAAATTCGGCAAATGAAACATCACCAGAACTTAAAATTTTAATTTTACGTGTGTCAGTACTGAAATATCCAACTTTAGCGGGTATTCCTATTATTATCCAAGCAATTTGTGAATCTTTTTCTATGCCCTTTCTAAAATTAGAGAATTATTTCATTATTTTAGATAAGTGTCGATTAACAATTAAATAAAGTAAAAAGCTTACTGGCATTCTATAAAAATTAAAAATCCATTTGTGTCCATAGAATCGAATTTGATCGTCACTTTATCAATTGGTTTGCCATCTCGTGAAATATATTTTCCAAAAACCTGATAATCATTGGATTTGAAACAAACAGGAAATTTTATGAAATATGAATAGGGAGGACCTTCAATCGGAACGCTTCCCGCCATGAGTACCATTTTTTGATTATTAATACCAAGGGCAGATTCAACTTCCTGACGAAGAGTTACCTCAAATATTTCATATAATGGATATAATCCTTCACAACTAATAACTGATAATGAGTTGAGATCACTTTCTAAACAATCTTTGATCCACTCTTTGAATTCATCTTTCATAATTAATTCACCATTAATTGATGCAAAGTAAGACACATCAACATTATGAGAACTTACGCATTTTTCCCATTGGCTTAATAATTGTCCAATTTCAAACTCTGAAAAATCTTCAAGAGTTGTCCACTTTACATCATCTATATTTTTAGGTTCCGATAAACTTTCATTTGCAATTAAATGAGCTATTCTGTATATTTTATGTCCTAAAACTAGCTTAGTTGGCAAAAAATAGCCAAACCTATTAAATACATCCATTAATTTATGATATGGATCATAGTGCTCCAGAGCTTCTTTTACCTTATCAATCAATTCATCAGATGGCTTTATTATTTGTTTTTCAATAATTAATTCAGTTTTCAAACATTTTATTGTTAGAAAAACATCATTTATAGAAGGTTCATTAACGGTCTCATCGATATCAAATATTCGACTAACATGCTTTAAATTATCTTCGGAGAGTTCGATTTCGATGTGATTTTTCGACAGAAATGATTCTTTTTTTGTTTTAGAAAGTACTAACTTTGCATTGAAAGATGTATTTGTATTTTTTATTGTGCCATCTTGATGTGGCTTAAGAGGCAAAGAGTCAGAAAGCTGTATTCCTTGTGCGTTGACAATCAATCCACTATTGAAATTTTTGGGATATAAGCTAGCCATTCTTCTACAATAAAATGTTAATGCCCATTTCAGTTACGCACGTACATACGTCGTGTATTCTATTACTTTTTTTTGTCTTATCACGTGTCAAGTCAATTCTTCTTGAGTATGTACAACGTACGTACGTACAGTACGCCTTACATACGTAGTACAGTACGTACGTACGTACGTACGTATGACTTAACACTTTATATAGAATGAAGATCAACTAATACATTGAGATAAGCTAAATTCAGAGAATTCTAGATCTTTTGATAACGATAATTTTGGATTTATTTTCAGTGTCTACTAATTTATACATTATCTGTGTAGGGCTAAAAATGGTGTTACGTTGAACAAGCGCAGAAAATTCGTGTTATTTGCACACAATTTGTGATACTTCTTACAAATCTTATTGCTTTCTAAGCATTATGGATGATGACAATTATCAAAATAATATACATAAACGAGAACAAAGTGACAAGGATGACAAGAAAATTAAAAAACAAAACCAAAATGAAAACTATATTACAGTTGTAATTGATAAATCATATAAAATCAACTCTGAAAAAAAAATTCCATGTTATTGTAGATGGTTATCACAAGATGCTAAGCTTGATGAAGTTCGTAAAGAGCTTATGAAATCTGAACGTAGTGATCACCAAATGGGATCAAATTGTCGTTTCTTATATTATTCACGAAAAAAAGCAGAGATTGAACCAGATGATGAATCTAAATATGATCTTTTAGAAATTGTCGAATCAGCTGATAATGAGTATACTTTATATATTATCCAAGGTGATGAATTCGATTTGACCCAATTAAGGTTTGAAAAAGGGCTTAGGATTAAAGATGATGGATCTATAACGATGAAGATAAAAATAAATGGAGAAAATCTCTTGGCGACGGGGCTACCTGGAAAATAATTGGATATGATGAAATTTACTCATTATTCGAATTATTAAGTGAATCTTTGCAAAGAAAGGTTTTGGGCGTTTTAGGTCACAAAATTTTAAAAGGTACATACTTCATGTTGCCATGAAGTTTTTGATCTTTTTACTTAATCTAATTCTTTTTATCTCTATGAAATAACAGCAAAAATCGAAGAAATAGAATTTAATTTAGAACCTAAAAAAGCATATATTTATCAATTGTCTCCGCACATAAAAGAAATCAAAAACATAGGCGAATGCAATATCCTAGCATCTATTGCAAGCGAAAATGGCAATGTATTTTCGTTGTATGTTGATCATATGAATAACGATCAAGACCGTCCAGTAATTGTTATTAATCACATACAAGGAAATGAGTCCAAACTTGCTAAGGCGTTTAGTACTTTAATGCTTAAGAAGGCAGTTAAAATTAAACTTTGTTGGATTATCATCGGTTCACTAACAAGCTTCAATTTTAACACCCAATACCCACTAACACTCAAGAGTGGAAAGTATACAGCTACTGGCCATAAAACAGACAAATGTGGCAAGTTTGGTACTTGTGTATTAGAACCAACTTCGAATAAAAAATCAGATTCTATAAACAATACTAACACAGGAAAGTCTACAAATCCTACACATCATAACATATATTACAATCCCAAAGATTCAACATACGCCATTGGCAATTATTTTTCTAGTTTACAGGAGTCAGCATACTTGTTTATTTATGATATTACAAATAGAAAAAAAGTAACAGATGAATCAGTTCTACAAAGATTAGCATTATACAATTGGCAAGTAAATATTATTTACTTCTAGTTTTATAATTTATTATAGTAAAGCTTCAGGTGTCAAAAGTTTAGTGCTGTATGATTAAATAATATTTGATAATATCATGATTTTCGGATCTGAAATTTACAAATGAATTTTTATTGCTTCCTAGTTTGTTTATTATAACAAGTGTATATTTGATTTCTGGTTGACATCTGAATCTTCATTCAATTTAGATCTTTCGTGTAAATGCATATTTTAATCTAACGTTCTGTTAATTATACAACAGTTTTATAGATGAAAATTACTGTGATTTATATAAAGAAATTGTAATTGGAGGAAATATTAAAAACTGTAATGACGATTTAATATTGGTGAACCAAATATTCGATTGTAGCGATTGCACAAACTGTGAGCATCATGGATTTGTTAATATTAATTCTGATAAAATTATTTATGGTTCATTGAACTCGAAACCCTTGAATTCCGGAGCAAAGATAGTTTATTTGACAGTTCCTTCACAATATATCACTAATGCATGATTGCGTGTACATTGTGAAGAGTAAAATCGACCCCAAATTCTATTTTTATCTTTTGTTCTAATTTTGTAAAAATTATTCAAAGAATAATTTAGGTAGCTGGATTCAATTAATAATTTAGATAACGAGAATAAATTAGAATTCCTAGAATTCCATTATATGTAAAATTAAATATATAAAGGAGGAGTTTTCCTCCTGTAATAAAGATAACTCAGATTTGGCACAACTCAATAGAGTTCGACCCAATTAAGAGTCTATTATCCTGACTTTAGTTCGTGCTCTAATTACCCCAATAAGTCAAATTCGCATAGAATTAGTAGTCTAATAGTTTCGTGACGTAGTATAGATCTCTATTTGACTCCAATAAATCGGACCAAGTCTTCCACGCCTCTTTCGTACCTTTCCACTATTGGGGTTTGATAGGGTTTGGTAGTTTAGTGTGTTGTTTGGATTAGTTTTGGTGCCGATTGATATCGTGTGACCCATATTTCGTGATTCCGGATTAGTCACGACCCTCACAACATCTAATTAATAAGTTTTTTATGATCATATCTTTGTTTTTATAAATCATTATGTAATTTGTACAAAGTAATAATATTGGGTCTTTGCCTTGAAAATCACGTTATGGGACATAGTAAATCATATGTTCCATAACGTGATTTTCAAGGCAAA